TACAACATACAAATATTTTTGCAAATCTATCTTTTTGTTGATTTCAGTTCACTTTTTCTTAAGCTATGCAGGACAATTTTAATTTCTAAAGTAGCACCATGAATTTAGCAGCCCATAGTTATAGCAAACCCTATGGCCTCCTCCCTTTTTTTCCAATTTGCACCTTCCCATTTAGAAAACACCAAGGTGAGAAGGAATCCATGAAATCTGCTGAGGCTGGTGGCTGCAGAGCCGGGAGTGAAAGTGAGAAGCTGCCACTGCCCGTAGCAATGAGCTCTGTGTCTATAGAACTGCTGTAAGTGAGCTGCTCATCTGTGTTTCCATTTTACTAGATCCAATATGGAAGTTGTAAAATCACTCCATCATAATAAGCTCTTGGGCTGATTTCCAGTTTAATGTTAACCTGGAAAGTTTGCCTTCTTGTAAGTTAAACTGGTTGATGAGCCATGGAGAAGGAGGAGAAAGAGGAGGAAGGAGAGGAGAGAAAGGGGTGGGGAGGGTGGAGAGATGTGATAGATGGCTTTCTGTTATTATAGGTAAATACTGGAGGTAAATCAATTTATGAAGAAGAAATGTTTATTTTGGCTCAATTTTGCAGGTTTCAGTCCATGGCCATTGGCCCCATTGCTTTAGATCTGTCATGGCGCAGTGTGTCACGGCAGCAATGTGTAGCAGAGATGGCCTAGTCACCTCATGGCTGATGTAAAATTGAGAGAAAGAGACCCAGATCCCACTATCCACTTTGAGGGCAGCCCCCAAATGAACTAAGGCCTTGCCCACTAGGCCCCACTTCTTAAAGCTTCCACCACCTTCCACTAGCACCAAGCTTGGGACCAAGACCTTAACATGTGGGCCTTGGGGACATTCCAGATCCAAACCATAGCAAGGGAGGAGAGAAGAAATGAAGGCTACCCTCCCTGCAGAGTTCAGTCCTCGTTTTTATGAAGATTCAAGATTTAAGAAGAAGATTTTAGTTTGTATTATATCTGTAACTATCAAATTCTCCTGTTAGTGTGTACTTACACACATTAATACAGTAAGCAGGCCTTTGTTTTGATTTTTAAAAAAAGCTTTTAATAAAAATAACAACTTGAAAAATTGTAAAAAAGAGAAATATTTAACAACTTTGTTTCTTATAGTAATTCTATTCAATAATTACTTATTAAGAATCCACCACATATGAGACACTGGACTAGAATGGCATCAACACACACATATGTAAACAGCAACTAGAAAAAACTCTGTACATA